ACTGTTCGCTCTGTCAGCGGTGTTGCCGTTCTTTGCACTGTTTGTGCTGTTAGCACTGATAGCTGCAAGCCGCCCTGGCTCAGCCGCCGCCATGTTGAGAGCCGTGTGGGGGTAGTTGATCTGCTCTGAAATTCGTATCTAGCATCTTTAAAGAAGACCAAAGAGTTAGGGTCAACACCTGACTTTTGCTACACCTATACGGAATATCTTTATTTGCTCAGATTGTCCCATTTTGCTATTCAGGGCAACATAATATAACACTGCCTTAAAAAATGTCTGATTATCGCTTTGCTTTGATTCTTTAATTAATTCTGTAAGATTAAATGTTGTGACTATACTTTGCAAGTTGCTGATGTTATAATTGAATGGCAAGAATAGGAAAAGTTTGAATTGTGACGTCCCACATCAAGGTTGTAGCTTTGCTTTCAGAATGGGCAAACACAATGAAGTCTTAATATTTAGACAAAGAATGAGGAAAAACTTGATTTGCTAAATTAAAACATTATAATAAAATTGGTTCTTTAGGTCTAACAAAACAATGCTTTATATATATATATATACACAAATATATATATACATATACATATATATATATGTATATGTCTGAGTATTTACCAATCAGATGTCTCTATGTAACCTGTGAGTTAAAATCCAGCCCCAAATAGCTTTGTGCTACTCACAAAAATAGATATTGCTGTGACCGTGTAGTGGAAGCTGACCTAAAGGAATGTATCAACATTTTTACCAACTTACATCTTCTCTCAGGTGTATTTTGGACAATATACAGACACGATTTGTAAAGTATATCAAACTGTAAGACGAGAGGGGGACAGAAATAGGATTGTGGAGAGTGAGGGGGACATGTTTATTCACTGGAAATTACGCCCTGGTGCCACAGCTACAACATTTGTATTCCAGACTGGTCTGACACACCCAGTATCATCTTATGCTTTGGCAATTGATGCTCAGAGCAAGTGCTCCGGAAGTCAGTTGACGTAGTATAAAGAGTGAGAAAGTTGGCATTGGAGGAGTGGGTGGATGGATGGGTCAAAGAAGCACAAGGCTTTTTACGCAGAAGACTGCTGTTCATGTCAACCGCTGACTACTTCACTTGTTATTTCATTGGCGTAACAAACATACTCATTTGAACCTAAACTTAGTAGTTTTGTTTGAATTGACTTTAAACGGGTGTTTAAAACTGTGACTGTGCGTCCGCATGTGACATGTTGGGAGCGAAGGCGTTAAAACAAAAGTCAGGTGGCCATTTTGAAACAGGTTTTTCTTGCTGTAATCATTTCTCCTGTCTGTATCGGCCATTAAAAGACCCCCATCATCAAATTTCTATTTCAGTCATGGAGGACGAAATCCACAGTCTTCTCTCCGTCCTGAAATACTAAATACCTTAAGTTCTAAAAAATCAATAGCTTAACTGAGGCTGGAACTGGAAGGCAATCCAGGCTCTCCGGAATTTAAGAACAAGCAAAAACGGGGAAGGAAATCACCACAAAAGCCTTTGTTGTTAGCTTAATCATGAATAAAAACTCCAGACCTACACGTTGGCTTTTTAAATGATTTATCTACTACAATAAATGCTTAATAATATATTATTTTTCATTGTTACTTGTTCTTGCCTCGATGGCCTTCATGTTCATCCTGTTTTTTCCCCCTGTTTTCCACAAACACCCGAAACACTTTTGATCTGCGGTTGACAGAAACCAGTCATCTCTTTTTCTTTTGAGGCTTATACGAGGCTTCAGCCGTCCCAGTTAGAAAAGCACAGTCGATATCATCCAAAGTTACAGTTTTCAGTCAAATATTTGCTGCTGTTGTTACCATTCTTCCACTGCAGCTCAACAGGGAAACACTGTCTGTGGAACCGCGAAGAAGGAATCTTAAACCAAAAGACAGTGAAGTTGGAACGGAAGAGAAGTCTTCACATTGAGAAGGACATTTTAATGGCCTGTAGGAAGAGGAGGAATGACCACAGCAAGCAACACCTCTTTCAATGTTCACATGGTCCCTGACTTTTTATTTTAAGACTTGAGTCTGGAAGCCAATCATGGTCCAGTATGTAACTTGCAGTGTTTGATGGAGACATGAAACGTTCAGTGCACATACACTGAGAATGGACTTGTGACGAAGGACACATCTCGTGTCAAGCAGTTGAAAAATATTAACATATTCACAGATTACGGATTTTCCCTTGAGGAACAAGGAGTACATGAAGTTTTTTTTAACAAAGTAATTGAACTTCTTTTCTGGAAATACCATATCAGACACAAATCTCTTTACAAAGCCGACTATTAAACATTTCTTTTACAACTAATTATAAAAACATATCTGGGGGGTATATTTAAAGGGAAACCTGGACCCTGTTTTCCCATGTTTTTGTGCTTACGTGACTAATGGGGACAACACTTTTCTTTAAATTGGTCCAGTTTAGAACAAGTGTGCTACAGATGGTTGTGACTAAACGGGCTGCAGAGTAATACTTTGGGGCAATTCTGAATCATCAATGTACGTAAATTAAAGGTGCTTGTTTTTACCACTGACAGTGTAGGAAATTTGGGTTTAGAACTGTGTTTTAAGAAATTATAATAGAAGTGTTTAATAATTCATAATTAAGAAATCATAATTAGAAGTGTTTTAGAATTTGTAGTTAGAAGTGTATCTTAGTAGAATTTGTAGCACCTTTATATCTATTCTTGTGAAGTTTTTGCCAAAAGTTGCAAATCCTTATCTTTATATAGAATCCAATGTTTATCATAGAAGTGTTAAACCATAAAAGACAGTTATTGAATGTATTAAACTGTGAAGAATAGCCAAGGGAGAGTCACATTTATAGACAGGCAATTTCAGCGGACGCAGACGGAGCATCACCCGAGCCAGGGGGTCCTAGCTGGCTGAGAAAGGAGGAGCCAGCTGGAGTTAGCCAATAGGAACTAAAATGGACAAGAGGAGGGGATTTCAAACTGAAAGCAGGGGTGCTGGGAAAGATTTCAGTCTCTTTCCTCTGGTCTCACCGGGAGGGCAGCTGTGCTTCTACTGGGATGAGGGTAAAGATGCTTCTCTGCGCAGAGAATATATATCTATAGATACTGTAATTAATGTGTTCCACTCTGTATTTGTATTAGATTCAGTAGGATTAAATACTTTTTGATTGTAAACCAGTTTATGGGAGATTTTATTATTGCAGTGGCTCTACTGTAAACAGCAGTTGGAGCGTGAGCTGCGGCCTTCCCTCTGTGTGGTAAGATTCAACCCTCCACAACAGGCTCAGACTGTCATTATACGCTGTCTGACCTTATGTTGAGGACCCTACAGAGAAATAAAAAAAAAAAATTCTTTGTAGGGTTCTTTCCATAATGCTGTCAGATAAGTGTAATAACGGATTCTGTCAGTGGTAAGCACTTTTAGTGGATGCACATCGACGGTGCAGAGTTGCACCGAGCCATTACATTGCAGCCCATTTAGTGGCTGCTGGCTGCAGTGTTCTCATTCAATACTGGACCGATTTTTTAAATGGTTGTTCCCATTAGTCACCGAGACACAGAAACATGGGAAAGTAGGATCCAGGTTGTAAAACACAGAAGTTGCCCTCTAAGCAAGAAAATAATCTGGTTCAAGCTTCTGAAACGGATGATTTGCTGCTTTTATTTGTCATACATGTTAGTTGGCTGCATATCTTTGGGCTTTGAACTTTTTGTAATTGACCATTTCTCTGGGCCGTGGGAAATCATAGCTTTCTGATATTTCATAGAGAAAATGATTTGAGAAATCGAGAAAATAAATCGAAAAAAAAATGTGATAATAAACTTAATTAGTGTAAACTTTAGGGAGCAATAGAAATGTATTCATCCAACCCCAGCGTCAACTAAAAAAGGAAGTGCTGAGAATCTAAAAGGTATTTCAATAATGACTCCGGCAAAGCGCAAGTGAGGGTGAAATCAGCACCAGAAGAATATGTCAAATGTTGCTCTAAACTTACAGTATAATGGGACAATTGTCTGGAAGGAATGGCTGTAAATTACAGCATTGTCAAAAAATATCTCTACTGTGGCACTTCGTCCAAATAAATAAAAGGAGACCTGTCAGACTCGTGATTCAATAAACTGTTGCAACCTCGTGATACACTACTCATTAGCTCACCCTGACATCCTCACTGACGAGGGTGATTTCCAAACAGATCACAGTGTTTACGCTGCACTCCGACCGCAGGCCGGGCGTTCTGTTGGGCCCGCTCTGCGTTTTGCTGCGCCGGCATCCGTCCTGCAGCTGCACTCTGAAACCTCACACGACCACACTCACGGATGCCATCTCAATATTTCATGGACGAGGTGCCCTGATATCGACTGGGCTGAGGATCTGCCCTCCGCTCTCTGCATTATTCACTCCCGTCTCTTGCGGCTGGGCTCATTTGTGTTGACAAAGGACTAGATGAGAGGTTGTGATTCGGTCTGTACTGCTCAGATTCAACTATTTTCACCCCCACTTTGGATTCTGCGGCACTGGAATGACATCACTCCTCCATTTCCGTGCTGAATCATTTATAGTGCACATGGGCCGGAGGTTGACCTCCACTTGAATCTGTTCCCGGCACACATCAATGACACATCCATTGTTCATGCCGATTATCACCGGACCAAATATAGAAGGAGACATTCCGCATTTTGGAGAGGAATGTGCACTTGGTGACAGTTATGCAATGCTTAGCAGTGATGATGTGTTTCCACCATAGCCAGGAGGTAGTTGTAGTACATTTTTGTGACTATATTTATCATTTAACTTACATTTTAAATGCAACCCTTTTAACACACAACTATATTCCATACACAAACAATGTTCCCTAGATGACGTTGATGTGTTATTTAATAAAGCGTCAATCAAGTCAACGCTTGTTACAATTACATAAATTAACATTTCAAATTTGCATTAATCGCCGTTGAAATCATGTTATGTGCTCTATACTGAACAGGGCTGAGCTTTAGCTAGCACTGTTCATGCTATTAGCGCCGTAAGCTCCTAGCCGCCGGCTCAGCGGTCGCCATGTTGAGAGCCGCGCAGAGGCAATCCCTCAATCGTAGATGTGCTCTGAATTTCGAATGTAGCACGTTTGAGTAAAGTATCTGAATACTTCCTCCACCACTGCCGAGCTTGTACCAAAATGACATATTTGTTCGATGAAGAAGCCTTAAAGATAAACCTGCACTGACGCAGATGATCACAATCCTGGAGGACATTGGAGTCATATAAACAGGGAGATGAATAATCAGGAACAATCATTCCAGACAGTCTGGATCCGCACCAGAGGCCTCGTTATGAAAACCTTCTTAGTCTATGGAGGGTCTGAAAACACAGGACTTTCACATAGGGAACCTTTCTTCTGTAATAAAGAGATAGGACTTGTATCCTATCTCTCTATCTTATCTTCTTTTTAACTGAAGTCAAGATAGGACAAGCTGCTGAGGATATTCTTCTTTAATGAGGCCCAAAGATTCCAGACTAGTACAGAACACCTGGTATGTTTGATTTCTTAGATGCAATGCCCATCCACAGATCTGGATGTCCATGTTGCAACCAACAGACACAGTGATGAGATTCCCTTTCATGACTTTGATGTCTTCACCAACACAGTGACAGAGCTGCTGATGGATGAAACTACAGAATCCAGTAGAAGAAAGCGTAACATCCCCCCAAACACCCACTCCCTTGCATCATCCCACAAAAAAATTTATAATTGGACCATTCACTTTGTGGCCTCCTGCCCCACTTTAAACCAGATGTTTCTCAAAGCAAGAAAACACTCACGAGGTTAACGATGCAATAAACTGAATTTTAGAAATGGATCTCTGAGTATTTTTGATGTCTATTTTATTAAATTACAGTTTTCAGAAGATTTGATTAAAATGTGTGCTCTGAATCCTCACTTTGGAACGAACACGTTCACTTCTAAACTTATTGCTGGTATCTAACACCAATATATCAATCTCTTAAAGGTCAGAGGAAGCAGAGCTGAAGGTAGAATTGTCAGAGAGTGACTCTGCCAGAATAAGGATGGCCACTCTGATGCAGATGTTTTTTTCTGCTCAGTGGGAGTATAAGCTTCTGCTCCTTCGGGGGAGGAGGAGCAAGTAGCAGCAGCCTTACCTCTGCCACAGGCACTCCCTCTGGAGGGCGACAGTGCAGTACGATCATCCCGTTGATTGGCACCTCCTTCCCCTGGGGGTCCTGCTCGAAGTTTTTCCTCAGGTCTGTGTGGGGAGATAAGAGGCAGCTGTCAGGTGTCAACTGTTACGGTCAGCCAGGCCTCAATCCTCTCCGGCAGCTAACAAGCCAGCCTGCCCTCGGCTCTGCACGCCACGACCTTCAAAACCCTCCAACCAGTGCAGGAGAGAGAGCATCTCATGACCCTGTGTTACGTAATCTGTTGACAAGGTGGTTTGGAGGATACACCGGATGGAAGAATTGCACAAGGTTTGCTCCGATCATCCTGGGCGTTCGGGTGCATACAAAAATGAAGGATCCTATTATCATTTTCAAAAATGCCTTTGATAGGTCATTTCAACACGATTGGGTTCCATGTACCCTAAGATCATGAGAGATTCCCTGCATGTAAGGGATCCAAAGACAGAAGGGAAACTATATAACAGTGCCTCAGTTCAGCTGGCAGGTAGGTAAGAAACAAAATAATATGCAAATCCTAGCAGATAAAGATTTTTGACATCACATCATCGTCCATTAAGTCAAATTCTTACTTTCTTCAAAGGACAAGAAAATACTTTCTTGATGTGTGTGATTTCTCTCAGTTTTCTCTCCAGGGCCACATAAGAAATCAAGTAGAAACGATTGGAGTGCAGCTTGAACACAGAGGAGGGCTTTAAGATAACTTATAACACTAACTGGCAGAGGTATTGGATTTGGACAACACTGGGCTGTGAATAGCTGATTGCGTCTAAACTTGATGAGACAGCATTCCTTCCTGGGAATAGATTATTTCACCACTGATACATCTGATTCATTTTCCGCTAAAATAATGTCAGCTTGCTGTGTTCACATAGTTTGGTCCAAACCAAAGGATAAAATGTTGGTGGTCCTGTTGCTGATTAACTCCAGTCTGCTAGAGACACATGGACAGACACTGTGAATCAGTTTGGGTGACCGGTCATTCTGCATGATCAAAATACTTCTTGGACCTCCGGGGGAAAATCACAAGGTTGATTTTATCTCAGGGACTGACAGCCTTCCCAGCACTTGAAGGCTTTATTTTGTATATGCTTTTGTTTTTTTAAATTTATTTTCTGTATTTATATTCTGCTCTGGTGGTCACAAAAAAAAACCTATAGAAAAGCAGTATTCAGGTACATCGCTGTCACTTAACCTTTTTGGATGTTGACTTTTTTTGGCAACGCACAGGACATACTGTAGCTAAAACAATATGACACCTTATCTCATTTGGTCTTTAAAACAAATAAGTTCATCGGGACGGCTACTCCCTTTTCACTTTCAGTTTTCTTACTCGTTTAGTACGTATTGCCCAAAGCTTTGCTATAGAGCTGCCACAGTGCAGATCGCTGAGGTGTCTCCATACTCACAGGCGATGCGGACGGTAGCCTTGCGACTCTTGGAGGTGCCCAGGTGGCTCCAGGCCACACAGAGACACCAGTAGTCCTCCGGGCCGTGGAAATCTTCCACCTGCTGACGGGACACATTTATCATCACCTCACGCACCTTTAGCCCTGGAACAACAGAGAAGATAAGACAGTTAGAGCCTGCTACCAGGACCTGAATCCAATGGCTTAAGAAGTATCAGGTTTCAGGTCGGGTTTGGGTCGTTCTGTTCTGTACAGCTTCGGGTCGGGTTTGGATTTGGTTAGTTTGGTTGATTTCCGGCAATGCATTGAGTTTTGGCTCAAGCTTGGGCCATTTTGTTGCTTAACACTCTGGTCTGGTTGGGGTTTAACTCTTTTCAATGAAATTGATTTAGAAATGCCATATTCTGTGTTGGTCTAACATGTTATTTTCACTTTAGGAAGAGTTCTTTTTCATTTCTGAGAAAATCTCCCCAAAGCAAGCACATTATTTTGAGTGTTGGACTGATTTAAATTTGACTTGGTGCTAAAGTCAGAGGATCAGAGTTATCACAATTCATCCTGAAGAGGACATAAATGTCCAACGTGATCTTAGTTACATGAATAGTTACATGAATAATGTACTGCCACCATGGAAACTATTAAGGTTTAGTCAACAAAACCACTCGGGGGCTTAGGAAAGAAAAGATCGGTTGACATAAGTTTGTTTAATACTTAACTTCACTTATGCAATTTAAAACAAGTCAACAGTGACTATTGGTTTTACACAAGACAGGAACACCGGTCTCATGGGTGGAAGTCCTGTGTTGGACCCATCTGTCCACCCTAACCTCCTCCCTTGGTGCACTTTGATTACGTATGTCTGTGGAACCTGGGAACTTGTGCGTCCACCACATAAAAGGTCTCCTAGTTGACTCTTCATTGGCACTGTCTCCGTGGTTCCGGTGCCACCACCGCTTAATCCATTGTTAAGAGGTTATGGTCATTTCACATATTTCTGTAAAGAATCTCAATTTGTCCAGTAGTTGCCGTCACTATGGGAGCCATGCCATTAGCATGGCAAAATATGGCTTGGGACGTTGGGTTGGGATGGGATTTCAAATGTGCTTGTACCAGTCAGGTTCAGTTGGGTCAGGTCTTGAAGATGCATTTTGTTTTAGACTGGGTCTAGGCCTTTTCTTAGGCACACGCAGTTAATGGAGCAAACTGAAATAGGAAAGCCAAGCATTCTAAATAAGGGTCCTTACAGAATCAATACTACGATATGTCTACAAGCTTGCGTCAGTGATCAATGGGTATTACAGGATTAGTTATGCATCAATTCTTATAAAGGCTGACACACTTCCTTTGGCTGAGCTCTGAGAGCATCACTAAGGAAATTGGCAGAAACACAGTCCCCCGGCGGCCTCTACTGTATGTTGTGAGTGCTCAACGCCGCTAACAAGAGGAGAGCTAAATCAGCTGTAGCAGAATTAGCATTAATAACTTGAACCACACTTAACCACTTCAAACAGCATGTGTAGGCTCGCTGTGCAAGCGACAAAAGGACAATAGACCATATTATGTAACACAAAAAGGCATGCGAACACAGCACTTTGCGCAATGCTCTGACTGTATTCTATTGAATGCAATAAAGAAGAAGAAGAAGGAGAAAACTCTTTATTTGAAAATCCTCTTATGCAACACGCTCCCCCCAGTTGGAAGTCTTCGTCACCCTGTCATCTAACTTCAGATGGGTATACAGCAACTGCTTTTAATCTGAGTCCTCGGTTTTGGGCCTGTCACATGTGTTTTCTCACCGCTCCCCAGAGTCTCATGCAGCCTGCAGGCAACAGCTGGATTAAAGGCAAGGGATGTGCAATGAACTGGGGACCGCCAAAGACCAATACCCAAACCCCTCCACCCCTGACTCTTCTGGCTTTTGTGAATACACCCTCTCTGATAAATAACACTTTAATCTGACATGCTCTTACTAAAGTCAAACAGCGTCATACTGCGGCTGCACAGCTTGTGAAGCGCTGAGCAGACTTGGGAATGAATACCAATTAAAGTGACTGGCAGAGAGGCCACGGCGATGGATCCACGCAGTGAAATTAAGAAATGGAGAGCATTTCATGGCGGGCGGTCTCCACTGTGCCGGGTGTAAATGTCAACAACAGAAAAGTGGGCTTCTTGCTTTTTTGTCACCCAAAACACGGTTGACATGTTGTGAAAAGCTAATACAAATTAGGCCGTTCATCTCAATATGGTGCAGTGCAGTGTCTTTGGCGAGCGGGTTACTTTAAATCGTGATTGACAGTCCTGGAGAAAAAAAAGAAAAAGGCCACTTTAAGAAGAGGAATAAACAAAGCAGCAGCTCTATGGTTGGTGCTTCCTAGTCGCAGCCCCTGTAGAGACAGAGACACAAGCATAATTCATAATTTCTCGAGCAGCGGCAGAGAGCTGGCAAGTGTATGTGTGGGAGGAGAGATAGCGGCGAAAATAATGACTAATGCCTTTCCATGATGCCCTAAAAAGTCTGAGTCTGTGTTTCAGAGAATAAGAAGAGAAGAGAGACGACAGACTGATGGAGAGAGAGAGAGATGCCAGCGGTAAGCTTTCACAACAGAAACCGGCGTCGACAGGTGGTTTACTGGCGAGATGGAGACAAGTGCTGCCACTGTGTCATCTGTCAGCCCTATTTGTTTATAGGCAGAATATTGTTGACAGGGCTCATTAGAGACAACCACCTGATCTGTTCTCCTCCCCAATCCCCTCCTTGCTCTTCGCAGTTTCCTGAATCACTTGATGAATCCATCCAAAACGGCTGAATCACTCTGAGAAAGACTTGCAAGAGGGCTGATATAAGAACTAAGTTTTTGTCTGTTCTGATTCCAGTGACGAGGAGAGTGCCACAATCTAGCTTATTAACTTGGATGTGGGTGACAGGAAATTCATTAAAATGTTATATTAGGATAATTTTTGCTTAAAAGTTTCAACTTCATGGGTTTGAGGTCAGAGGGAAACTTTTGTCACATGCCATCTTTCACTCTCAGCACATATTCCCTCTAGTTCTCTTCTCTTAACCATCCAATAAAGGTGAAATTGGAATGGGGTGCAGCCCCATAGATCAATATTAGACTTTTCAGAAAATGGCAATATCTGCCCAATGTACTGGCAAACCCAAAATACTGGTCCATTGGCTCTGAAGTAGACGAAAAGTGAGAGCTCAGGATTAGACTATATTACCCTCACTTCAAAGGCTCTGCCCTCATTTTGAAGGTGATGAGTCATTGAAATATCTGTTTAATGTCACATGGACCCCCCTCTCTTTCTGCTTATTAAAGCAGAGTCGCTGTATATCATACCGGGCTGTGGTAGCCATGCATTCTTATCTTTAGGATAAGTTAGGCAATTCAGAAACATCATCATGTGGTACAAAAATGCGTCATTTCCATAGCCCATTGATGAAAAAATAGCAGTCGCTACTGGCGATAGCTTGGCTATTTAAAAATGGCGGGTTTCTGTGATTTGTACGATTCTAGCTGACCAATCAGTGATATGCAGTGTTTTAACTCCACTTTCTAGAATCGGCTCAGTTTGCTTGGAACCTCAACCAAAGTGGTACCAAAAAAATTACCAGGTACCAGGTACTATCCACAATGTCTGCTGATGGAGAATCGAATCCTAAAAACAATTTGCAAAGAAAATGTGAAAATAGACACCTTCTCTGACACTTTTCATGAAATAAAAAACCTTTCAATTTAAAATGTACATATTTGGTATTTGAAATACACAATAGTGTAATACTGTAATTCCCTTACACTTTAGTGTCAAAAAAAACTAATTTCTATACATTTTCTCCCACCTGTTTCATTTTTTT